TTTTACAGAATATAATGAAAACAGTCTCCAACAGAACACAAGTGAAAGCCCATGTACAGGATCACTCTATTCTGGCGTCCTCACAGACCTGGGCCCTACATCTGTAAGGAAGAGCAGGCTTCGTGGTGCTCCCCTCCTGACTCACAAGAACCCTCCAGGGGAAGTGAGAGAGAAGTTTTCTTTCACCTTGCCTGGAGAAAAGTGACCATCTGTTTTATACTGTGACACCTTAGGTGACATCCTGACTATTCTCAGTCATGCCACAAATACATCTTAGAGCTAATGTTAATCTCATTACCCATAACACCAGAGGCTACAGGTAACAGAAAGACACTGATACTTTAAGCTTCAATTTTTATCTACATGCATGTTATATATGCATAGAATACTTCTGGAATGACAGACAAAAATCTGATGACAGTGGTTGCCAACTGTGAAGGGTTTCGGGATGAATAAAGGCATGAAAAGGATAGAAATATATTTGTCCCTGCAGACTCCGTACAGATTTTGTTTTATAAACATACATTACCTACTGAAGGTCAAGTAAACAAATTGGATGGCTTTTTAGCTCATCCCTTTAATTTTCTTTCTTTCTTTTTATTAGCACATGTTTGCAGAACATAATGCTTACACTCACTGTGGGGAGTTGCTCAATGTACATAACACATCTTAATTCTTTTTCTTTTTAATGGCTTCCTTTCTCTCTTCTTCCCTCCTTTCCTTCCCTGCCACTTCTTGGTGCCCTTCCCTCTTGCAAAAGTTCCACCATCCCTTTAAATCTCAACCTCACTCCTCTCAGGAGTCCTTTCCTCCATTTCTCCCCTGCTCAAAGTGCCCCCTCTCCATGCTCAAAACAGGCAAACTACCAATGAACCAATAGCATCCAGGGACAGGACAAAATTCCTAAGAGAACCCAAGTCAACGAGGAAGTTTTTCCAGGTCACATCCCTTATTAAGCCACCCTGAGACCAAGCAAGTCTCTACCTATGTAGAAGCCAACTCAAAACAGCCAATGATTTGCCTTCTCACCTTCATTTGGAACCACACAGGTCAAACATCCTAACTTTCAAATCAGCTAGCCAATGTTTCCCTAGCAAATGCATCATGCAGGAATCTACACAGAAGAGATCTAAAGCCAAAAGGTAGTCCACCCGTAAAGAAGGGCCTTTGTTCCTGGACTTCACGCTGTAACGGACACTTGATTTTCAATCTCAAATCAAGATACTGAATACTCCTTGGCCTCTCAAATGCAAGTATCATGAAAAGAGAATGAATATTTGTTGGAAGCAAAATAAACCAGCAAATCCTGTTAGGCTTTGTGCTTCATTCCAAATGATTTTCCTCCAAAATGACACCATTAGTACTCACCAATATGATAGTCCTCAGAGGGATGATTATGTAAAATAAACCCTACCTCTCCATTCAAAATAAGCCCCAGATAGCATAGCAAAATCATGGCACCACCACCCAAGGCCAGCCCATCTGCATCTTCACCACTGCACAAGCCAACTCATTTCATCATCCATTTGTGTGCTTACCACGGTCCTCCTCAGACAAACACCTTTTATATAACTTCAATGTGCTCCCTACCCGTCAGGTTTCTTTTCTGCCAGGTGTGCAGTTGGTCCACAAATATTCATTAAGGGCCTCCTTGTGCCAGGAAACACACAAAAGAGCTTGATTCATGCCCTCCAGGAGTACAGAGGGCAGTGAAGCAAGTATAGAGCGGAGCAGTCAGGGCTGGACTCAAGCTCAGAGAACTCTTTCCATTGGAACCCTGAGAATACTAAGAGGTACTGCATGACACTGAAGAATGGAACAGGGGTTCTCAGGCCAAGGCAGGAGTGGGGAATGACAAAGACAGAACAAGTATAATGGCACAGAGGCAGGGAGCTGAAAGAAATCACAGTAGCAGGAACGAGGGAGTCCCTCTTCTTGAAACTGGCCTTTTTAAGGAAAGGCTTACCTAACAGATTTTCATTATTGCAAACATTACCCCTCAGATAAGATGTCAGAAGTCAGTCTCCCATTGCTAGAGATTTTCCTAGTTGACTCCACAAATTAGCAGGGCAGAAGGAAAAGAACTGCTGTGGGCTGCAAGGCAGACTTTCTCAGATGCAAATGTACCTCTCCAAAGCCTTCCTTTCTTTCCCTTTCTGCGCCCTAAACTGGTGGCCTCCCACTTACCTCTCACCTCTTAGGCTGCCTTCAGACAGCCCCTGCTTCCAGCCTTCATCTGCACAGCTAGCCCAGAAGTCACAAACTGCAGATGGCCTGTACCCCTTACTGCTCCATCCCTGGGGCCCCTCCTGTCACACAGCCCACCAATGTACCACTCTGCATCCAAGTTTACTGTTCCCATGCAGTACATTTACATGCCTATATTTACATCTGCTTCATCTCCTCCTTAAGTTGTAAGTTTTCTGAAACCAGGGATAAAAATCATACTCCCCACCTCCTCTCCATCCTCAGAGCTCCATTCAGAAAACACTATACTTATTTAGATTTTAAAATGGAAATAGACCTGGATATAATGGATCATGCCTATAATCTCAGCTACTCAGAAGGCCAAGGCAAGAAAGAGGATGACACATTTTAGACCAGCCCGGGCAACTTATTAAGACCTTGTCTCAAAAAATAAATATTTTAAAAGGGGCTGGGAGACTGTTGTAGCTCATACCACACCGGGTTCAATCCCCAATATGGGGAGAAAATTTGAATGGGGATTTTGAAGTGGAACTTGGTTAGAAGTAGAATAACTGTATCCTGACACTTCTGAGAGTGAAAGGAGCACCAGCATAACTGGGTCTGTCCCAGGAGAAACAGGCAAATGGTCACCCTGGCTAGAAAGGTTCAAAGAGCTGTGAGTTACACTGGAGCTCCAAGGAGACTTAGAACCCTGTAGTTACTGATTCCTGTGATTGAAGAGCCTGCACCAGATAGAACTTGAGGCAGAAAACTTACACCAGAAAGTCCTTCCTTCTCTCTGACTCAGATTCTTAAAGATTTAGGTTAATGCTACCATTGACCTCAGGGCAACAGAGAACAAGGACATAGGGAAGCAGCTACAAAGGAGAAACACTGCCTTGGTCTTCGCAATTCACTAGAAATGGCTCATTGTGAGTTCCACGGTTAGTTTTGCAGCCTTCAGCTGAACCAAACAGTCTGCCTGGCCCAGAAGCATAAAAGCTGAAGGATTTGGAACTGCTCCCATTGAGAACAGAGTTCACATCTAACTTGCCCCAAATCCCCAAGAGATTAGCACAGGCCAAACCCAAGGAAGAAATGGCACCTGTGAACATTTTTGAGACCAGAAAGCTCCTCTCCCAACCAAAACTATGGCTTTAGGGAACCTAAGCTCTGGGAAGGACTGTCCCCCACCCTCCACTCCTGGCCCAAGAGCAGAGCAGAGCTGCGCTGGCTGGAGAGACTCTCAGTGAACAAGGGAGCATTTATACACCCCCCTCCTTGCCATCTGCTCCAAGCTGGTGTCCCTGTGGTAAGCAAAGACTTTGTCAACTTCCCTTTCAGCCATACAAGAAAACAAAAGTTTCAGATGGGGCTCGGGGGTGGGTAGAAGATGGGTCTAAGAGCTGGTCAATTCCAGCAGCTGGGAGACCAGCAGTTACAGCCCTTCAGGAACAGGGGTGGTGGTAGATGAAAGTTGAAGACTCCCACCCATTCACCCTCACTGTACCCCCGTTAGAGCCAAGAAAGGAAGCATTTAAGAAGCGCTGCATAAAAGTCAGTGGGACTCCCATTACCCAGAGGTCAGTGAGATAATGCAGACAAAAACTAAAGACCTTCTCATCATGACCTTGGGCTAGTCATTACACCTGCCCCAGTTTCAATGTCGTCAGCAAGAAAGTGACACAGCAGGGTGACATGGTTTATAAGGTCTTCCTGGTTCCAAGGACTGAACCCTTAACTCGCCATATTTCCTGAAGGGAGGAACTAGCTACAGCAAAATTAATGAAGTAAGGCAGAACTCAGGCTAAGCATTTCGTTTCTACTTTAAAAGGGAACATTTTGACTATGGGAACAGTGCTTGTGTACCACCTCCACTGGCCCCAGCTTTTTTCCCCCTGCGACCTTCTAGTTTTGCTGATGTGGATCTTCACCGCAGGACGCGGAGTCTCATGAGGCAGTAACACGGGCAAATTCATTTTGCCGATGCTGATACTAACCTCCAAACTCAGTTTGCAATTCCTCTCAGTTAAGTCTGGCCATAAAAGTAAAATTCATGTTACTTATGATCTAATAAACCCATTGCCTGGATAGAAATAAATCACTAACTGAATAATAATCCCACCAAATTTCTTTGCAGTCTTTTTAAATACCCATGTACCATGAAGGTTATTCTTATCCCAAATAAAGTCATTAGGAGAGAGGGAGTGGATTGAACCTCACACCTCCACAGAAATAAAAACCAAAACATTCAGTCCTTACACTTCGCGTGCGCGCGCACACACACGCACACACACACACACACACACACACACACACACACACCGTCTTCCTTTTACTACATATAGGTGGTTGCCAGCCTTCCGGGTTTGTCCACCTTTCCTGGGGTTCAGCACGGTGTGGAACCCCCTCCACCCGCTGTTCTGTGGAAGTGCACTGCAGCGCCAGGCGCTCGCCTCCACTGCCAACTGATGATACACTAAAGAAAGCCCTTGTTTTACCCAGAGATGAAAATGAATCTAGACTCTCTTATACCTGCCGAAACTACCCTGTTCTGCACACACACTGGGGAAATACGCGCAGCACCTCCCGAGTTACCTGGAATAGGTTTGCTAAGACCGACAGGAAGGAGGAAAGATCAACGCGATTCAAGCGCTGACGGTTGTACTCATATGAGGGGGGGGAAAACAAATGCAAGCCGGGAAGTCCCCAGCGGTGCCCGCACCTGGGAGGCGACTGCAAAGGACAGATGCGGGGGTGAGGAAGTGCAGGGAAAGAGCTGGAAGGAGGCGGGTCGCAGCAGTCCTGCTCACCTGTCCGTACACCTTGATGGGCTGGGGCTGCAGGGCAGCGCTCCGTCGCGTCCGGAGCGGCGTCTGCTCCGCCGGGCTCGCCCCCCTGGCATCCCCTTGCGCCCCCAGCCGCAGCTCGCGCGGGTCGCCCTGCACCACGAAGAAGCCCCGGTCCTGGGGCAAAGGCGCGCGGCCGCCGTGCAGTCTCCGAGTCCAGTCCTCGCAGAGAGCCCCGGGCGGCAGCAGCGCGACCAGGGTGAATAGGAAAGGGAGTCGCGACTCCCTCCTGCTGCTCCGTGTCGCCATGTTCGGGCGAACGCTACTGCAGGTGGCGCCGCCGCCAGGAGAGAATGTGCAGCGCGGGGCCGGGAGAGCGCGGGGCCGGGGCCGCGCGCGCCGCTCCCGGGGCTCCAGGACGCCCGCGCCGCTCCGGGCCGTCTCCGCCGCCGGTCCGCTCGGCTGGGCGCCGCGCCGTCACGTGTCCTCTTGCAGCGCGTCCCCTTCGCGCACTTTCTCCGCTCGGCGGCCTCGGTGGCGACACTAGCCCCTCCCCCGCAGATATGGAACAGTCGAGGCAGGGAGTCCCTGGGAGCGTGCTCCAGTGCCTCAGCGCTCACACCGTGTTCTTTCTGCAGAATTAGGGTTATGCGGGCCTCCTTCCTTTTTCCCTGCAGTTAGTTGCCTCCTTCATAGGGCCGTGCCCAGGTCGTCCTTCTCAGCTGGTGGGCCCCCTGTCCAGCCCGACCACCATGGCCCCACCTGTGTAGGGCAGCTGAAAGGCAAAGGATGCACTTCAGGACACTGCCTGTCCTCTTTATGAAACTGACAGTTCCGACTACTTTGGGCACAGAAACCTATTCAATGTGGCCACAGCCCAAACCTACCCTTGTTCAAGTCAAACTGCCTCTGTCCCCAAGAATACATCCTGCACAGAAGCAGTGGAAATGAGGGCCCAGCTGACAAGGAACTTGATACACCTGGACAATTACAGTCACAGAATGTGTCCCCGCACACACGAATACCTCAGCATGGCCCCGGGGACCCAGCACACCGGCTTGCTTGTGAGCCCTGCAAGGTGACCAAGTCCTCAGCCACCCCGCCTCTGCAGTCAGAAGGCATATATACCAGTCCTTCCCTTCCGCCTGGGGCTCCCTCTGCTTGCACACGCCAAGGGTGAAATAATACAGGTTGTGACCGGTAGCAGCAGGGGGCAGACACCCAAAGAGCAGGCAGGACACGCTTCAGAATCACCCCCAAGAGCCAGCCTCTCTGAACCTTCTGAACCACAAGGAGATAAAACTTCTGCGGTTGGAACTGCTCCTGTATATATGAAGAACACTTTTTTTCTTTGGGGGTTGAGCGAGGACAAGTTGGTAAGAGCCTATACTGCAGCCTCACCTACTTCATTGTATGTTTTTCTGTTCCCTGCACTCAGATCCTGGTTAACAGTGAAGACAGAGAATAGGGCTGAAGGAGAAACTACTTCTATAAATCCATAAAGAATATTGGTTAGCAGAAGAGGAGATGGTCCATGCCCCTTGTGTGCCTCTACCTCCTCCTCAACAAGCCACGGTTGACTCTATTTGTGGGACTTTTTTTCTTAATGAATTTAGGACAGGGTCTTCAGGGTGTACAGGGTCTCACTACGTAGACTGGACTTGTAGTGATTCTTCTGTTTTCAGCCTCCCATGAGCTGAGATTACAGGCTCACGCCACATGCCCAGTCTCAATCACTGTCTCAGTGGCCAACCCACCAGGGGCGGGGCGGCTCAGCCCACCGGGAATGGAACCCCGGGGCCGCCGTGCTTTGCTGAAGCAGGGGCTTTAGTTACTTCTTCCCAGTTAGTGTAACAGAACCCCATCCCCCACCCAGCGTCACATTGCCCATCTGCTGAAAGATAGTACTATGGTTTGAATTTGATTACCACAGTGGAAGTGCAGCGCGAGGTGGAGCCTTGAGAGGTTAATAGGTCATTAAGACTGAGTAAAGTCTTTCTCACCTGGTGGGTTTGTTCTCCCAAGAGCAAGCCACCCCTTGTGCTTTCACTTTTAAAGCCCCTCCTTGCCCTGCAGCTCTCCTCCTCCATGGGTTGAAACAGTGCAAAGCCTTCACCAGACACTGAGCAGATGCTGACACCTTATTCTGGGACTTCCCAGCCTTCAGAGCTATGAGCCAAAGCCTAGATTCTCTATAAATCACCCAGCCTCAGTCCATTCTGGCAACAGAAAGTGAATAGAGGCAACATCTCCTCACCTTCTCAAAGTGCAGCATCCTACCACCCTACCCTACCCCTGGCCAGTCTTGCTGTGGCCCTAGACCTTAGATTCTACCATCCTCCACCTCCTCTCACCCCACCTCTGTCCTCTACTCAAATGTCTTTTTTGTCCACCTTGACATAGTTACAGAGCAACACAGTTTTCCCTGTAAGCCACGGGACCACTACTATCTCCTACTGCCCACCCAGACCAGCCCCATCTGGTGGGTGGACCACCATCAGGGCTTCCTGGGACCTGCAGCAAAGACATATCTAGTCCCATTTGTCCCCAAGGAAAATTGAGGAGAACTGACCAGAGTCAGAGCACTCTGCAGATGATTCCACTATTATTTTTTCAGCATTATATTTAATGAGAACCAAAAGCAAGTGTCAGTGTCCGCACAGACAGTAGAATGTGTCTCTGAGTGTAGATTTGAAGATAGAGAACAGGTTTGTCCACATGAACTGCTGACTTGAGGATCAGATGGCAATTTGCATGGATGGCTTAGTGGGACAAGGCCAGCTACTTGCTCATGTTGATTTTGATTTCCAACTTTGATGCCGGAAAACCGGCCTGAATGCTCAAACATGCTTAATTTACTTCTTGCAGGCCCTCTTCTCTAATCATTGTCTGTATCTAAGCCATTCTTACATGGCTAATTAGTGACGCTTGAGACTGTGTGCCTTGTAACCACAGGACACAACAGGAAACACTTTGAATTTTGAGTCAGAATGTCCCACTTTGTGGCTATGGGCTCTGCTTAATGACCTCCACTGAACTTCGGTTTTCTCATCTTCAAAATGAAGATTTTAATCCTATATAAGTCACAGAACAGCTAAAGGTGCCAGATAATATCATACATATAAAATGTGGGTACAAGCCAGGCATGGTGGTATATACCTCTAATTCTAGCACTCTGAGAGGCTAAGACAGGGAGGATCTCAAGTGCAAGTCCAGCCTGGACAACTTAGTGATGTAACAAAACCCTATTTCAAAATGAAAAATATTTTTAAAAGGACAACAAGTATAGATCAAGTGAAGGCCTTAGATTAAAGAATGGTGGCAGGGAGGGGCTGTGTAATACTGTGAAGGCCTTCAGATAAGAGTCTAGCCTGCGAGTTGTATTAGAGTCATCAATTGTAATCCTAACTCCACAATTAAGTCGCAACACGGTTGTCAGTTGTCATTCTAGTTAAGGAGACCTTGCAGTGCTGACCACTTTTACACCTGCGGGGCTGGCCAGAAGGGTGAATCAGGAACAACTATAGGAAAGTCACTTGGAATAGGAGTCAGAGCTGAATTGTGTAATATGAGTGGGGTGTCCCTCCTAGCTTCCAAACAGCCTCTGGCTTATAGACAAGCCTGTACATCACTTCCTCTGTCCCTCTGCAATAACATCCACATTGGGTGAATCCCACTCCACCCCAGCTTATGTGGCCTTGCTCCAGAGCTACCCAACATCATGAGGAAAATCAGCATGCATAGTATATATTTTTCTGATGCTGAAGATAAATCTAGGACCTTGAAAATACTAGACAAAGGCAATGCCACCAAGCCACATCCCCAGTCCCAACATGGATAGTGGTAATTTCATGATAGGCTTCATGTATGTAAGAATATTCTAAGCCTATGGTCAGACTTTAAATTGCCCTCTTACGTCCTTCTGTCTCCCGAAGGCTGCCCTAAGCTAGGGCTGGAGATGAGGCTGCAGAAAAGCCATACAGGGGTTGTAGTATGTTTCATTTCTATTCAAGTCAAGTCACATTTAAAATTTCAGGGAGGACAGCTACAAAGAGAGAAGAAGAAACTCTAAATGCCTAATTCGACTTATTTCTCACCTAGTCATCTTCCCGTGTGCTCACCCTGCTCCCTAATCCCTGGCTAGCCAATTCCTTTCACCCTTTTCTTTTCAGAGAAGCCTCCCTGAGTACCTAGGCTGATTAGATCCTTGCTCGAAGGTTCTAGTCTTCCTGTCTAGCCTTTGATACTTCCTCTCTTGTCGCATGACCTAACTTTATCTTTTTAAACCAGAAGCAGCAGTGTTACCAATAAACAGAGAGTTCTTTTGCTCAATAGAAATAATAAATAGACAAAGTGTAGCTCTTGTAGTGTTAACAGCCCAGAGCCTTCCATGCCAGTGGCTCTCAGGTCTTAGTGTTAGTGGTGCTCTTGACAAATCTCCCTTGTCTCCTGTCATTCTCTGCTCCTAGCTATCTTCCATGTAACCAGCTCTGGATCCTGACTGCTCTGGATGCCAGCAGTCTTTAGGATTACTAGCTCTTAGTGTACCAGCTCGGCCTCTTCTACTCCAGATAGAAAGACGGAAATCACCCATGACAAAACGCCACCCTAAAGAGGCTGTGTTAGGATTAGGCTGTAGCCTAAGGACGGACAGCATGGACTAACTTCCTAAGGATACAGGGAGGTTGCTTATATAGAAGAAAAGACAGGCTTGTGTGTGCACAAGTTCAGACTTCCGGGCAGGGTGGGGGGTGCTCCTTAAGGACCTGGTTGAGAATGGCTGCAGAGAGGTGGAGCTATCTGGAGTGGACTAGTGACCAGAGCTTGCTGTGGCCAAAGCAAATGTCTCCTGGGACAACTATGGGGCAACTGCTATAACCACAGGCTAAGGTGCTCAAACCAACTGCAAAACAGAAAAAAATTATAGTACCCATTTCCTGTCTCAGCAGAAGGACAAAACCAGTCAGTCTTCATCATTTTTATGTCCCCAGTACTGAGTACCCAGTACATTCCTGGCACATGGCGGGTGCTTAGTGATATTTAGAGAATATATAGGAGCAAAGAAATCTGTCATTCTACCCTCTGAAGGTTCACTGTTTGGGTCTGAAGTAAACTGATGATAGGTAGACAATAGAAGAAGATGTAAATTTATCACGTGCCTTTGTGACCAGGAGCCACAGAAAGTCTGAAACTCAAAAAAAGCCCCATTGGTTGAAGTTTATATAGCATCCTGAGCTTCAGAAGCTTGGGATTTCTGGGAGGCTGCCGTAGGCTAGGGGAAGGCAGGGGGAGGAAACAGCAAACAAATTGTCTTAAGGATATATGGTCGCTTAGTAGCATTTCTCAGAAGAAATGATTTTGCTTTGTTTTGTTTTCAAGCGTTTCCTGAGAATTTTTGTTTGGTGATACTGTGCGCCATGTAT